CGAGGCTTGCCAAATGCTGCACCTGCCACAAAATCTGCACTTCGAGGTACACCAAGTGCTGTACCTGCCACGAAATCTGCACTTTGAGGTTCACCAAGTGCTGCGCCTGCCACGAAATCTGCACTTCGAGGTTCTCAAAGCGCTGCACCTGCCACGAAATGTGCACGTTGAGGGTCACAGAGCGCTGCGCCTGCCACGAAACCACGAAATCTGCAAACAAGCCACATGTCCAAAAGTCACGATTCACTGCACCTGTCACGAAATCTGAGCTCCTCGACGATCACCACCATGTCCAAAGTATTGCGCCTGCCACGAAAAATGCATTTCGAAGTCATATAGCTCCGATCCCTTGCACCTGTCATGAAAAGTCAACTTTGGAGCACCAAAACACGAGGCTTCCCTTAGCCTTGCGCCTGCCACTGAAAAGCGACAATCATGTGAAAATGCGCGCGGCGCCACAACGAGAGCGCAGTCGCTAGAAGCACCCGCCGCCGGCAGGCAGATTTTGTGAGCCGACGCAGTCGAAATGCACATTGACCATGTCGACGGGCATGAACGTACTGTAAATAGCAGCGAATTCGCCGGACACACCCGCGCGGCACACCTATCTAAGCACACCTGCTTTACACCTACCGTAAGAACCCCTAATGTGTCCACACTGTTTGGGTGGAAAATACCTTTTCTTTGCACCTGAGCTGCTTAACAGACTGTGAACAACAGGGTGGTTATATGCAGTTTGACAACGGCCAACGACAATCCAGGCAACGAAAACGGCAAGCCTTCCCACCAGCTGCCATCCTGAAAGCATTAGCTGCGACCAAGCAAATGTTGCGATTTAAACCTGATGGCCTGACCGCCTTTACACTGTACACAAGACAATCTGAAACAGCCCTGGTCACTGGTCACAAGCCTATGTTGAAGGCATGAGTTATATATATACTTGTCACACATACTCGCACGCTGTCAAACATACGCCAGGTGCACTCTTGCCTGGAAGGTGCCTCCTCCTGCGAAAGCAGAAACAGCAAAAAACTCTTCACCCAACCACGCAATGTGCTACCTACAGCCTGAATGTATGGCAACAATTGGAACTCCGATTGCGGCTCTCACTGGCCCTGAGTGCCCCACGCTCATCTGCGTCATTCGGAAAAAGAGCGTCCCTTAGTAACTTAGTCTTAGTACTAACCGACGTGGTAACTTACCCCGTCGCACATGACCATGACCCACCCCCATGGCACACCGCTTACCCCACTAGTAGGAACTTACCCCATTTGGAAAACACTATGGCACTCCGCTTCGAAACAAGCACTTTTTCTCCTAGATTGTTTCCAAACCTACACTATTCCATTGCGATTCAATCTTCTACACGTTGATGTTTTCTCAGGTTTTTCCCGAGTGTGCCTGCGAAGGGTTCTTCGTAATTACACCACTGTAGGCCCCAAACAGTTTGTGTTTTTCAAAATCGAAACTAGAGCTCGCGACGTCCAGAGCTGGGAGACAAAGGATTGCAAGGCAGAGGCGGCCACTGCAGCCCAGAGCTGGGAGACAAATGCAAAGGATTGCAAGGCAGAGACAGACACAGCAGTACAGAGCGGGCGGACATATCTTAAGAAAGAATTGAGAAGCCCTAACAGTAAACCTTTTGGGGAATTATTCTTCAAGCGCGAACATGATGCTGGTCATGCTGCTCAATCAGCGGGGAGCTGACCACGTGAGGACAAGAAATACAGGCGTGAGGAGCGAAGGATGTGACACGAAATTGATTTTTGGTGCCTGACGTATGCCCTCCGTCCCAACTGAACAATGAGATCGCTGCCACGCCGCCAAAACCCAATCTGGTCATTCATCCAACGCTTGTCCGAAAAGGAAAACAAAGCTGAGAGAGTTACACAGTGCGGCAGGAATGCAATCCCGGAGACAGTCACGCACCCCTTTCAAAGGAGCAAGAACCTTTCACAGGTGAACCTGTTCAAGCGGACAGAGCAGAAAACAGCAGTGCAGGCACCAAGCCTGAAAGACAAAAAGAAAGAAATCACATGGGAGACAAATGAATAGAATACATGGCCAGCAGAAAAGGGCGGCAGCACCAGTGACAGAGCCGGGAAACAAATGAATAAAAATGCTGCCTGGCCAGCGGAAAAGGGCGGACACCAGCAGTGACAGACCTGGGAAACAAATGAATAGAAATGTTGCATCGCCAGCGAAAAAGGGGCGGACACCGACAGTGACAGACCTGGGAGACTAATGAATAGAAGTGCTTGCATGGCCGGTGGAAAAGGGCGGACACCAGCAGTGACAGACCTGGGAGACAAATGAATAGAAACGCAGCATTGCGTGCGGAAAAGGGCGGACACCAGCACAGCAGTGACAGACCTAGGACAGATGAATAGAAATGCTACATGGCCAACGGAAAAGGGCGGACACCAGCAGCAACGGACCTGGGAAACAAATGAATAGAAATGCTTCATGGCAACGGACAAGGGCGGACACCACCAGTGACCGCCAGTGACAGACCCGAAAGACAAATCAATAGAAATGCCACATGGACCAGCAGTGACGGACCTGGGAGACAAATGAATAGAAATGCTTCATGGCCAATAGACAAGGACACACCAGTGACAAACCTGGGGGACAAAAGAATAGAAATGCTACATGGCCAGCAGCGACAGACCTGGGAGACAAACGAACAGAAATGATACATGGCCAACGGAAAAAGGCGGACACCTGCAGTGACAGACCTGGGAAACACATGATAGAACTGTTACGTGGCCAGCGGAAAAGGGCGGACACCAGCAGTGACAGACCTGGGAGACAAGTGAACAGAAATGCACGCCAGCAGTGACAGATCTGGGAGACAAATGAATAGAAAAGGGCGGACACCAGCAGTGACAGATCTGGGAGACAAATGAATAGAAATGCTACACGACCAGCGGAAAAGGGCGGACACCACCAGTGACAGACCTGGGAGACATATGAATAGAAGTGCTGCATGGGCAGCGGAAAAGGGCGGACACCAGCAGTGACAGACCTGGGAGACAAATGAATAGAAATGCTACATGGCCACTGGAAAGGGCGGACACCATCAGTGACACAAAGGGCGGACACATCTTAAGAAAGAAATGAGAACCCCTAACAGTGAACTGTTTGGGGAAATAGAAATGACTCCAAAGCTCGGACTCCTGTTTTGGCCAGCAGTTGACTCGATCTTCCGATTGGATCTTTTTGATCCAGGAAGTGGCCCCAAGTGTCAAGAAGGGTGGGAGCCACAGGGGGGGTGACACTTGAGATGGAAAAGACCACGTCGGCCATGCATCATCTAATCGCTCTACGTCAACATCGTTCGAAGAACCACAATGACTCCAAAGCTCGGACTCCTGTTTTGGCCAGCAGTTGACTCGATCTTCCGATTGGATCTTTTTGATCCAGGAAGTGGCCCTTCCTTGCTTCAAGCCTGCCGGGCTGCATGGCCCCCATCTTTGAAAGCCTTCTGGTCTGCCGGCGCATGCCAAATCAACTTGTCATTGAAATTCCGAGCAATGGTTTGCACATCGTAGTCGTAAAAATCCTTTGCATATGCAACGCAGAGTCTCACTGGATATGGTTGAGCCAGATGAGTTCGCCATTCACCAGTTTTGGTTTGTCCAACCAGCTGCCAATGTTTGCACTGAGTATACTGGCAGATGCCATGCTTGCCGGACCGGCATTGCTTGCCTTCGAACCGAGGCAACGTCAGCAGCACTGTCAGAAAACCAGTGGGTTTTTTGAATGGCTTACCCCAAGCACAATAATGTGGTTCATACCAATGCACCCCTTGTTTGCGAAGCAATGCTAAGATAGGAGGACATAGCCACAAGCGGGATCGAGCAGGATTCTCAAGGGATCCTCTCACATGGTGCTTGAGGCCAAGGCAGAGCAACCACACGGAAAAGCGCATCCATAGGTTGCCCGTCTCGACTTTGACTTGGTCGTGAGGTTTCAAGCCCGACAGTCCTAGTGGCTGACTGTCGGACCGGAGCGGGGGAGGGCCCGGAGGAATATCCCTCGCTCTAGTGAAGCTTTCGCAAGGCGTTCCCAAGTGGAAACCAAGCAGCGCCCCACCTCGAAGCCAGTCCCCTATCATGCGTCTCTTGGATCTAGACCTCAAATCATATTGTGTGCCCATGGAAATATCCCATACCAACACCATAACCCCTGTATGACGAGCAACAGCCTTTGCAAGATTACCGCATCCGGAAAAAATCTCCAAAAAGACAGCCACCGTCAAACTCCTAACTGGGTTCAGTGCTTCGACCGGAGGATTTGCTCTATGTCGTGCGTTGCCTGAATGCACTTGTCGAGCACCCCCGGGTCCAGCTCGTGAAGCATTTGGTTGAGGCGCCCGCCTTTTTCGTATCGGCGGACCGATGCAAAACTCTTCCAGCGCCCCCTTCTCTGTATCTCGTCCAGCCTTCTTTTCTGAAGGGCAAAATCCCTGCTTGCACCTCCATGACGAAGCCTGTATGGATGAGGGGGGCCTATTGCCTGCAAGTGCTCTGCTTTGGCTGCCTCTTCCATCACTGCTTTGAGCTGTATTGAGTTGCTTGTGAATAGCATCTGATCTTTGCCTCGAGTGCGGCTCCTCATGTGTTTGCTCACCGCCTCGGGGATGAACTGAGTCTCCAAGTCGTCGAACGTCACAGTCTCGTCGAACTCTGAGGTCTTCGACGCTACTTCCAACTCCACTGGATGCAGCACCACACTCCAAGTCCGAGCAGACTTCTTGGTGCTTTTCACTGGTGGCACCAAGTCCCGACATCTGAGTCGACTCACCTCCCCTGGCCTCAGGTAGAGGACAAAACACATCGCCATCATGAGCGCCTCCTGCAGGTAGTTGTGGTTCATAGCGTATTTGATATCATCAGGCAAACCACCTCCCAGGGCAGAGGAAGACGGGACTTGGGAGGGTCCAATCTCCTCCATCCTTGCAGGGACTGCTTGGATCTTGGCAGCATCGCCTGTTTGCTCGATTTGAGGTGAGGCAGCCGGAACAGGACTGCAGCCAGCATGTAGTTGGCCTTGCTGAGGTCCTCCCCCTCCTCGAACATGTGGTTCAGCATTTCCTCCAGGCACGAATCTACCAGTGAAGGTGGGGATCTCTCGTCCAGCCGCACTGAGGTGTAGCTGATCATCCTGTCCCAACAATCCAGGTATGCCGTCCTGCTCTTCTCTGACACAGATGCCTCGGCGAGACATCCGACAGTCTGCAACTGCTCCTTTCTCTTCTCCTGACGTCTCTTCTTTGTTTCTGCCGCACTGCTGGCGGGCGTCGATTGTGAGGTCTGGAGAGGCCTCTTTTTGCTTCCCTTCTGTGGGTTCGGCTTGTCCACCACCAAGAAGCGGTGGATCATGATCTATGCCATGGGGCATCAAGGACGGTTTCGAAGGAAAGATTGAGCCTCTGGAGGGGCCATCGGCAGGGTTCCACTCTGAAGGCAACCAACGAAATGCGAGTTGAACATTGCCACCCAAACTCAAGGCTGCTACTTGTTGTGAAACCCTTCGCATCTTAAAAGACCTGCCACGACCCTTATCCAAAGCGCACACTGCTGAAATTGAGTCCGACAGAATCAATACTCTCTTTCCAAAAGTCCTACCGCTCCTCAATGCATGCCTAACTGCAAAAAGAGACGCCCTTGCTTCCAAGACTGGAATAGGTTCGAGACGAGCCCAGCGGTGTCTACCACAAACTTTCCAATCTCTGTCAACCACTGAAAAAGGCACTGTCTTGAAAATTTGGTCATGTGACTTCGGTTGCACCACCCGAATCGGCTGCGCTCCCCCTGTGTTTGTCGCCTCGTTGGAGGCCCATGCAGCGGCCGCAGCTTCCTGAGGATCGTCGGCCACTGCCATACCGAAAGCATGTTCACGAGGGCGAGAAAGGTGGGGGTAATCGAATCGCCAACGTTCCGAGAATTGACCCAGGTCAGCCACTTGCTCAACATCAAAAACTGCTGTGGTTGCTCCCATCCCCCAGTCTGATGCATCGACAGCTGTAACCTCGGTTTCCCATGGAGCGGCCAAGTCCCGCCAAATCAAGGGGCACACACCAATGAAAATGTCAAGCTCCCGACGGACCGATTTCCAAATGCGTGCCTTGTTCCAGTAATTGCGTTTGATGAAAGTGTAAGTCTCCCCAAACACCGACAAACTCTCTCTCCTCCCCAAGCACAAAAAATTAGCATGACCAACAATTTTCTCAAGCTGTCGTCCGGTGCAAGATCCTCGTTGAAGGAGGTATTCAAAAGCTTTCCGAACTCGCCAGACACGGATTGGCCTGGGCCTGAAAATGTTGTTGTCAAACTCCCAACCGAGCACTTTGATTTGCTTGGAAGCATGTTCAACTTCATGCACCACCAGGCCACTGTTCCGAAGTGCATCGACTCCGGCACCAGCGAGGGCACTGACTCTGTCTTTGTCCGTACCCATTACAACCCAGTTGTCAATGTATTCGAGATGCATGCACTGTCCATCAGGCACAACTGCCTTGTCTTCCAAACTGTTCTGTTCTGTGGCTCCGACACGGCTGACAATGCGTTGGTGAATCATCTGGCACCACCACAATGCGTGCGACCATCCCATGGGCAGGACTCGTAGTCGAGGTCTTACCCGCACCCCGGGGGCCAGTGCCTGGCCCTGAAGGTGCTCCAGTCCGATCGCTCCTGCTGGGACCGACCGCATGGAAAAGAAGTCCCTCAACTCAATCGGCAATTCAAAGTGATAAAAAGCATCCTTCAAATCTGCAGTGGAAATGTAGAGGGGGCTATCACCGGTCAGTTGAATCCTGGATAAGCACTCCGCGGTCGCCAACCTCACTTTGTCAGGAGGGCTGAACCAACAGTTTGATCGTCTGCAGTCAACAACCAACCTCTGTCTTCCGTCCTTCTTTGCCACACAAAACATTTCCACCTGCTCAATGCCTTCTGTCAATGAAAACTCAACCAAGCCTGCCTCATATAGTCTCCTCACGAAGCCATGAAAGACATTTGGAATCCGCAACTGTGGGTCAGTGTAGCACCTTTGCACTCCACACCTCTCCAAACTCTTGCGGGCCTCATTCCTATCCAGAAGTCGAGTACGACAAAACGCACTCACTATTTCCCTCCCATCATCACCCAGAAGCTCCGCCACTGGTATAGCACGATTGCCAGCGTCGGGCAAGGAGAGCAAGGATGGGTTGTAAGTCGTAACAGCTGCCGGAGTTTGGTCATCACCGTAGCCGTCGAAGGCGTGGAGCTGGCTGACCGCTCCTACGCCAGTGAGCTCCTGCGGACAGGGCCCCATTGCAATAACTGAATTCCGAATATGTTCAAACACAAGAGCCTGAGCATGTGACACAACCTGCTGGTCCCGGGTGGGAACACGCACCTTGTCACCACTGTACAATGCATTGAGCCCCTTGACACAATCCTCAACCATGCGGTCAATGTGACATGCACGCTGCAATCTTCGTTCGACCGACCGACAACAATCCACCTGCTTGCCGACCACTCTTGGATTGCAGCTCGGGAGAGGAAAAATGTCCCGAGGCACCTTTCGCCTATCACCACCAAGGAACGGGGCTGGGGTTGTCTGCTGGCCACTCGCCCCTCCATGGCCAGTCAACGGAGAGCTCAGGGGCCCTCCTCATTCTTCTTCCCCTTAGGGTCCTTGGCAGCCTTGCGATTCAACTCTCGTTCCTCACGGGCCTTGCGCATGTTCTTCTGCAATGCCACGTCCTTCTCAACCTCAGCCTTCACATGGTCAAGCAACGACGGAGCCACCATCAACGTGCCAGCCTGCCTCACGACTGCTCCGAAGGTAGCCTGCTCCTCCATAGTCAGCTTTCCTCCAACCGACCTAGCTTCTGCCTCTCGAGCACGCTCACCATGGGCAAATTCTATGGTCTGAAGTCGCCGAAACATGAGCTCGACTCCAAGGCTGTTCAACACGTTGTAGCAATCGACTTGTACAAGGTGGCGTACGAACATGCTCAACTGGAAATGTTCAACAACTCCCCAGGTAGAACTCTCCAGCTTGCACAATGTCCTGAATCGCTCGTGGTGCCCCTCAAATCCAAGGCCTTCAATGGCCAGATATGACAAACACCATTTCGCTGTCCGGGGTCCCACGATGGTCCACCCCAGATCGAACTCCGTGCAAGCTGAAGCGGCCTCTGCTAATGCCCTCTCGGGAGTTCCGAGAAGGCTGATCCTCCTCTCTGAAAGCCGGCCGTCGCATCCAGCGGGTCTGTTGTTGAAAGGCAACACTCCAACCTCGTTGATGCACATCACAAACAACTGTCCTCCCCCGGGGAGGACATGCACATGCTTTGCACCAACAACAACGGCTGCTGCTACCCCATCAACTTTCTGCCCATAAACAAAACCATGGTCTGTCTCCGCAGCTACCCAAACACCGGTGTCTCCAACAATGTCTGTAGCTCCTGGTTTTCTGGGCCCCTGGTTCTGCACGGGATTGGCGACCGCGGCTGGTGCAGCCACTGCTCCGGCAGCTCCAGCCACCGGAACAACTGCGCCAGCTCCTCCTCCGGCCACCAAACCTCTACGAGCTCGCTCCGCTTGGGCCTCGGCAGTTGCAGCTGTTCTCAAAGCATTGGTAGTTGCTACTGACCACACTGGAAGGCCGTACACCTCAGCAGGATTCACTCCGGGAGGCAACAGTCCTGGTCCCGGCCTAACCCTGAAGGCAGCCAGGTCGGGATTCAAAGGTGACATTGTCTCACAGTACGTGTCCTGATCAGGTGTCACGATGATGTAGTCGTCAGCTTCAATGTGATCTAACACCCACCGCTCATGAACCACCACCGGCCCAGGAATATTATACTGAACCAATGCGTAACGATTGGTCAATGCCATGCCGCCTCAACCTGATCGCCGCGACCTGGTTCCTGGCCACGGTCTCGAGACTCAACGGAGACGAGTCCGGGGATCCACTCTCCAGACCCTTTTGTTCCGCCCTACGAGGACACGGGAAGCAGCACCAACCACAGGCCAGCACCGACACGCTGAGGCAAACGCTCAAAGCAACCCACACGATCCAACCTTCACCCCCCGAATGGGCCGGCGTCCAAGTGACGGGCGGAAGGGGGGAAGGTGTTGAGGTGAACCGTTCCAAGCTGTCTTGTATGGCCACAAACACTGCCCTGCGCACCAGCTCTTCCAACCGTGGATCAATGTAGGAAAACCCCAGCCAATATGCAACGTGCAACAAGGTGGTGACCTGACCGACTACGATGCCAGCAACCAAAATCACCCACCAGTTGACTCCCATGGCATGCGCCCCCCTTCTGACACTTGAGATGGAAAAGACCACGTCGGCCATGCATCATCTAATCGCTCTACGTCAACATCGTTCGAAGAACCACAATGATACATGGCCAGCGGAAAAGGGCGGACACCAGCAGTGACACAAAGGGCGGACACATCTTAAGAAAGAATTGAGAACCCCTAACAGTAAACTGTTTGGGGAAAAAACATCTGCAGAACTACGTCTCATCTACATCTTCACATCTTCACCTCTGCACATCTACATCCTCACCTATATCTCTGCTCATCTTCACATCTTCACACATGTACATCTCTGCTCATGTTCACATCTGCACATCTACATCTCTGCTCATCTTCACATCCTCACATCTGAATCTACATCTCTGCTCATCTTCACATCCTCACATCTACATCTCACATCTTCACCTCTCGCTCTTCTCTACTTTCTCTCTTAAGGCCGGGGACGGTACCGCCGGAGCACCACGAAACGCAACCCTCTGCGGAGATCGTGCGCGTCGAGGGAGCGAAATGCAGGCGAGAGCGCGTTTTGGCCCGGTCCGGCGCAACCCTCTGCGGAGATCGTGCGCGTCGAGGGCGCGAAATGCAGGCGAGAGCACGTTTGGGCCCGATCCGGCGCAACCATCCGCGGAGATCGCGCGTGTCGAGGGCGCGAAACGGACGCGAGATTGCGTTTTGGATTTGGCGCGGGCAACCCTCTGCGGAGATCGCGCGCGTCGAGGGCGCGAAATGCAGGCGAGAGTGCGTTTTGGCCCTGTCCGGCGCAACCCTCTGCGGAGATCGTGCGTGTCGAGGGCGCGAAATGCAGGTGAGAGTGCGTTTTGGATTTGTCCGGCGCTACCCTCTGCGGAGATCGCGCGCGTCGAGGGCGCAAAATGCAAGTGAGAGTGCGTTTTGGATTTGTCCGGCGCAACCCTCTGCGGAGATCGCGCGCGTCGAGGGCGCGGAATGCAGGTGAGATTGCGTTTTGGATTTGTCCGGTGCTTCACCTTTGGAGGAAGTCTCGTAGGAAATGGAGACTTGGCGCTTCACTTTTAGAGGAAGTCTCGTACGAAGCGCTGGTTTTAGAGACTTGGCGCTTCACTTTCGGAAGAAGTCTCGTACGAAACGCTCGTTTTGGAGACTTGGCGCTTCACTTTTGGAGGAAGTCTCGTACGAATCGTACGAAACTGTTCATGCACTTCCTTGAAGGTTGACTGCATCACGCAGCCCTTTTTGTTGTGAGGGCCAGATGGCCTATCAGACCTCCCTCGAAGGAGGAACCCCAACCAAAGAAGCGTTGAAAAAGAACAGCGGATCTGTTTTGTGCATTTGGTTTGGGAACGTGTGTTTTCGGTCATGTCCGCAGAAGGGTATCAACAGGTTATGAGCCCAAAACAAGCTACTTCTGCACCACCCTCGAGCTCGTGCATGCTTCGCCGGCGCCGGACGATGGAGCATGGACCTTCGCTGGCTCTCCCTCCACCAGAGGAGGACGCTGCAAGGGCCTCTGCAGAGGAGGCTGGAAAGGTGAAGGAAAGGGGTGGAAAAGGATGAAAAAGATGAAAGGGTTTGATGACGCCCACAAGGTCTACGACAGGACCACCGGGTTCAGCAACAGGGCCCACTACGGAGATGGAAGTGTTTCGTAGTGGTGGGTCCAAGCCCAGTGCAAAAGGTTCGACTGAGCATCCAAAAGGTCAGCCGGTGACCTTGGCACCCCTGGTTCCTTTGCAGCAGCAAATGGCACCGCTGTTCACGAAGGAACAGATGAAAGAGTCAAGAGCTGCCGCCCGTCTTGCACCTCACGTGTTTGGAAAAGCACCGCCTCCATCGTCCTCTGAAGAGCAGTTGGAGCTCCTTCAACGACCTGCATTCCTTCGAGGAAAGAAGAAGGCCCAAGGAGGCTATGAGGAGGACGAAAGTGAAGAGCTCAGGCGATGTGAAGATGAGGATTCTGAAGAAGATCAAGGCCGCCGTCGAAGCCGCCTTCAAGAAGAAAAAGAAGAAGAGATCATGTGGCGATGGCAGATCTCACAAGATATGAAGAAGCTGACAAGCCTATGTCAGGATCAGCAACGTGAAAATGATCGCCTTCAACAAGAGCTCTATGAATGGAGGTTGGAGGACGCAGAAAGGAAAAGACAAGAGGAACATAAGAAAATGAAAAAGGAGAAAGAGGAAGGTCATGTGCCCCGAAGTTCATCGACGTTCAACACTCCTGAAGAAGCGAAGCCCGAAGCTCCCAGCGTTTTGGACATGTTGGGGAGTATAGGGGACGCACACCATGGTCTACCTACCCAGCTAGGTATGGAAAGGGGTTGAGATCTCAATCCAAAGACCCACCGCGAAAGGGAAGAAGTCCTTCGTATGGAAAGGGGTTCAAGGAGGATCCGAGATCGACCGCCCAAAAGCCTAGAATGGGGGGAGCCAACCCTTCGCCAGAGATCCAGCAAATGGAGGTCATGGCATTGCTCGTTGAAAGCATGAAGGCCCTTCAACGTCAGATTTCTGAAGTGAAAGTCAAGGCACCATCAAAGGTGTTGAAGTGGTGAGACAAGTTGCAGAGCTCCCGGCTTTGGGGAGTATCCAAGGCAGCACCTCACAATTCCAGCTTGGGATTTGGCTTCTACTTGTTCAACCGGTGGTAGCCGACCTCACTGCTACATCGGATTTGTGGTGGGAAAAGATGATGGTTGAAGTTGAACGATGGTACCAAGCTATGCCACCGCTAGATCGTGTTCAGCATGAGCCCGTCGCCCCAGCCTCTTTGAATATCCCGAAGTGGACGAAGTTGGAAAGGAGGATGGCCACCTTGCTGCTCAAAGCGATTCCAGAAGGCCAGCGTGATGAACTGGTCGCAACAAAACGCCTGTCGGTGTTTGCAATCTTGGCACACCTCCACTTGTCCTACTGCCCTGGAGGTGTGAGTGAAAAACAAATGTTGTTGAGGAACCTTGAAGAGCCGAACGAGCCGAGCAACCTTCACGAGACGGTGGTCAGCCTTCGAAGGTGGCTTCGCTGGAGGGCTCGAACCCAGGAGATCGGGGTAACGGAACCTGATCCTTCCATCTTGGTCAAAGGCCTCAACAAGTTGACCAAGAAGACTTTGGAAGCCAATGAAGGGCTTCGGTTTCGGGTCTCGTTGGCCAGGAACTCACTTCAAGTTGACACCAATCCAACGCCGATCTCGGTCTCCCAGTTCGCCACCCATCTCATTGCTGAGATTGACCAGGTCGCTTTCGCCGAAAAGAGAAGTGCAGGAGCAGGTGGAGGAAAGAAGGAGGACGCTAAGGTGAAGAAGTTGGATGAAGGTGGAATGAAGAAAGGAAAGAATGTTGAAGGAAAAGTGAAAGAAATGGAGGTCAAGCAGCCCTGCAAGTTCTTCCTCACCGACTCGGGATGTCGCCGTGGAAAGGACTGTAGATGGTCCCATGATCTCAAAGATGATCAACGGAGACGCTACTCCTGCGGCTCCACCAAGCATCTCGCTCCGAATTGCCCCACCAAGGATCCAGCGAATCCTACATCCTCTACGTCCCCGCCTAAGGTGAAGAAGGAAAAGGAGGATGAGAAGGGAAGAAAGGAGGAGGATGAGAAGAGTGCAGGAGGAACAGAAGGCGAAAAGATGGATGAGCTGCTGGAAGAAGCAAATAAGATGCTCCGGATGATGAAAGACAAAGAAACATCCGAGGCCCGAGGCGAAGATGAACAAGCTTCACCAACAGCTGGATGAGATTAAAAGGAGCGTCAAAACCCTGAAGCTCACAAAGGTCCGGGAAGCGAAAATGGGGTCTAAGAAAGAAGAAGAATGGGGCTTGCTCGATTCGGGAGCAACTCACCCTCTCAGGCCTCTCGCCCTGACCGACTGTGTTGACAGCCTGAAGAAAGTGTCAGTGTCGTTGGCTGACGGCCGGACCACGCCATTGCTGATGACGGAAGCTGGAGTGATGGTCTCCACCAATTTGGCTGTAGAGCCAATTGTGCCCCTCGGCATCTTGGCGGGATGTGGGTGCAGCATTTCATGGAAAAAGAACGGCATGAAGGGGACTCACCCGAAGAAGGGTCCTCTTCCAATCAGCATTCAAGCTGGATGCCCACAGATTCCCCAAGCTTTGGCCCTCGAGCTCATCAAGGAGTATGAAGAAAGGGTCACCGATGTCAAACAAGCTCGGCTTGTGGAGGAAACACACTCGGAAAGGGAACTGGAGTGGTTGTCCTCGCTGGTTGAAGGACACCCCACTTTGTCTACGCTGCCGGACTCCATCAAGAAGTCCCTGATCCAACAGCCGGGGGAGTGGAAAGACTTGCCTGCAAACCGGCACCAAAGAAAAAGATTGAAGGCCGCGGGCCCAATCATCCTGCATCTCTATGCAGGCGAAAAGAATGGCTTCACGCTCCACAAGGCCGGCCTTGGTTCTCGAACTTTGGAGGTGGATTTAAAAAGGGGG